CAGTGTCTTGCCTAGGGGCACCTAGGCACGTGATTGCTGGTGGAATTAAACCCCCATCTCTCGCATTGGAGGACAACTTCTCTAACCACTCAGCTACAGCCACCCTATACTTAACGTCCAAGTTTTGCTTAATCTTTAATCAAACTTCATAAATGGTCTATGCTCACATTCCCCAAAATTAAAAATTTTAGCCAATATCATGTGAAACCTTAGAACAAGATTGACTGAAATTCCTGATGGCAGTATGGACATAAGTCACATTCCCATGTAATGAAGACATAGTTTTTTTTTTGTCAGCTCCTCATAAAAATAGTGTTAAATTATTTTTAAATATATGAATGTTTCTGTTCCATGTCCTGAGATGCTTTCTGTTGTGACTTGGAGCTATATAAATAAACTGAATTGAGTTGAATTGAATTTTGATGTTTTTTGAGGAGTCTGACCATTTTATTTTATTTATTTATTTATTGGTTTATTAGCATCAGAGTTTACAATTGAAATAAAATTAAAGTTCAGAATATAATTTTAGTAATAAGTTTTTGGCCATGTCAGTTTTTTTCATTTTTGCGTCACAGAAACTGAGAGTCCCTTTGTTGAATATGAATGAACAGAGAATTGATTGTTGGTGCTTGGGGAATGACAGGCAGATCATAAAGACGACATGAACAATAAAACGCTTGAAAGCGTTTGGCAAATTATTGAATGACATGAACATTTTGTCTCACTCATTATCACTATAGTACTTACCTAGTCAGCCACATCACCTTACTGTCCCATATTTTTATTCATATTCCCCACTCAACAATATTGATTCTCCTAAAGATGGATTGTTCATAAAATATTCATTTTCCATGAAAAGGTCCTTGCTGATTGAACATGTTCAAATCAATATTTTGAATTGACTACTGAGCCCTTCCATATCTCTCATGACAGCAGTGTGTTCTTGCAAATAGAACACTGATGGATAAAAGCTTTTAAGCTTCTACAATCTTTCCCCCAGTGACACTTGAGCAGTAGCACTTTTACTTTTCAAGTAATGTTCTTTTAATCGCAGTTCCAACACTGGTCATTGGTGTAAAGGTCCCACAGTCCTTTGCCCCACAGGCAGCACTGTTTAACCAAAGGACCCCTATTCTGCAAATTACATCCCTTGAACATCTACCAGTGAGGTGCAACAGTTCAGGAGCCTGATCTGAGTGATGCTGCCTGAGTGCGCTCTTGAAGAGCAAAGACAATGTGGATCGATTGCAGTATTGCCCAGAGCACTTACTGCTACTCACATCCAAGCCACAAAAACTATTTGGCTGGCAATGCCCCCATGGATATTAATAATTAAAAGGTTTCTTGGCCACACCAGGTTTATTTCCAGAGAACAAGGGCTAGACAGCAATTTTAGCACCGCATTTTAGGAATACACTTTCCCTCAAGCTGTGTACGTTCTTGGTAGAGGCCTTGCTAGAAATCTATCCAGTAACCTCTCGAGCTCAATTGATTTCCCAGTATAGCAGCAAATGTGATAGGCCATGATAACATGAAAAGACATGAAGCTACAGCGACGCAATCTAAATTTGTAATTTTCCGTAGTGCAAAGCAGCTTGACTCCTGTACCTGGAAAGCGGGGATCTAGCAGGACTTTTGGTTAGAGACGGATCACAGTTTATTCTGATGTGGTGAAACATAAAGGCCATTCAATCACTGCAGGAAATCCTCTGAAGCTCAAGGGCTACAAGCAAACGAGTTGGTTCATAACAATGCTCCACCACTCAATATCTGTTCAGAGCATTGCAAGCAACACTGCTTTTTCTTTTTCTTAGGGATTCTGTATAGCTTTCATACCCTGTCTGCTGTGCACTCCAAATCTGTATGCCATTAAAAGATTGCCTACCACAAGACAGCCCTGCACAAAACAACCCATACTTTTTTCACCCTTTGAAATGTATTAACGACACGTGAGAGGAGTTGTTTCATCCGATACAAATCCACTGTTTGAGAGTGTGGCCATTGACCTGAACAGTCCACACTTTAGTCACTCCCTGAGGCGCTTTCATGCACATTTACTTACGGCAGGGACGAGCTCATCATGCCCTTTTAGCACAGCCCTAACACACTAACAGCTCTGCCACAACCAGCGTGCTGAACACGAAGTGCATTCCACAAACAATGCGTGTCCTTTCAAAAGCATTCAGATGCGACATGCTTTCATCTGTGCAAAAAGATCTGAGACAGCTTGAATACTTGTGTACACCTACACTCACACACAGAACAAACAAGCAAAAACACACAGATGTGAATCATTGTATCTATTCATCCTTCCCTTATTCTCCTGGGGGGTTTGACAACTGAACTTCATTTGTACTTTTTTCTTTACCAAATCTGCTTTGGTTTATGCTTGTTCGGCTTTTTTTTTTCTACTCACACATCCTTGTGCCACTTAAATCAGTTTTCAATTCTAACCAGGGAGATATTGCATCTTGCCCTGACAAAATTGGTCTGGTCTGCTGACATTCTGCCTTATAGCCTCTGTCAGACAAAACACCTCTTTGTCTGACAGGTTCTGGCAAAGCACTCTAAAGTCTTCCATTGAGACCAAGAATGTGCAGCAGCTTTCAGGTTAGTGTAGTCCCTTGCTGATCATATTGGAAGTACTTAGCTTAACATTGTATTATTGATTTTAAATATATGGACAGTCTACTGAAGAATCCAAGTTAATTGTTATTGTCAGAGTGCTTGAAACTTCTCCTTGAGACTGTATGTTCAAAAAACAGTTTCCAATGTAAAGATTACCAGCCTCTTGATCTATAGTGTCTTTTTGTCTTTGCAGTCATAAAAATGCTAAATGTGATTGCAGTTTCAGATGGGATAGTTGCAATATCAATCACCTTCAATAAAGTAAAATCTATATGTGCATTTGTAACAATTTATAATATTAACAACAGGTAATTTGATGGAAATCTGAAGCAGTATATTGTATTCTAATGAAAATATACAACTTACACAAGGACACACAATGAACCCAATGGTGTTCAGGCCTTCAACATAAAGGATTCAAGAAAGATTGATCTATTTTGACACATAAAAAAGTCCACTGTGACAGAAACCTGAATGTGTTATTCTTCACCTATAGATTAAAAATCCCTTGTCTTTCTGTCTTTTCTTCACCTATCTTGATGACTGTTCATTTCAGACACAGGTGTATTGTCTGGGATTGAGTATGTGCCATCCTGAGTTTAAAGATGTTCAAAAGTGGCACAGCCTTAATCTAGGAGTGTTTTCTTCCACTGTGAGAACATTTTGTTCCCAAAGCCTAGTCTGTCATGTTACAGTTTAAATCAGAACCAAAGTGCACACAGAAGTTTGCTGCATGCATAGTAAAAAGTAAGTTTCCATGGCTAGTCTTGAAATAAAAAGACAACAATTTCACCAAGTAGGAATGCTATGTGGTATAACTAAACATTTATCCAAGAAAACGCAAGACAGATCATAATTAAGGGCTACGAGGCTGAACAGGACACTAAAGAGAGCCTCTAGGAGAGCTAAGTGAAAAAAACATACCACTGAGAATGATCGAGAAAGTAGATACAGGTGTACTAATTGGAAACAGGGTGGCAGGAGGTGAGTGGTAAGCTGGAGACAAGAGAAAGTATCTCTTGAGAAAGGAGATGGCAGGGGGCAGGGAAATTAAAAGCATATTTTAAGCTGAAAATTTCATAACCAAAAGCAAAGACCAATACAAAGTCACTGTGGCTGGAAGGCATCATACCCAAGATACTGTAACTTAATCCTCCCAAAACAGATTATTAAAGCAAAGACATCTCTTGCCTTATCTACTTTTTGCTTTCTATAAGCCTAACCACGTATTGGAATGTGAACTGCAGACTTTGGCTCAAATTGAATGAGCTTCAAACAGCAATCATTTACTCTTGGAGCCTTTTGGGCATGTATTTATTTCTTAAATTGCCCTTCCATTATTTCAAATCAAAACATTGCCTCAGAATTCAATCTGGTCATTTATTGTACGGCCACCAAAACAGATGAACAACCATGATTTGCTAAAACAAGTCCTAAGGGATAAGGCTGCATTGTCAAATAAAAAGTAGACTGAAAACACATGAGTAGCACCTTGAATGCAATTTGCTGGATGTGGAACACACTGCCTTGACTGCTGAAGTTAGGACAGCCTCAGGGCAAAAATAAAAAGAAAACAATTTAAAGTTATATTACTTAAATCATGAAAAACGAAGTGACGCTAGAAACAATACAGTGGGTTAATTGTTGACTGTATACAGTATATAGCTTAAAAACCACCAGGTGAAGTAAATGACAACAGGTCCCCACTACACAAGCTAATATTCTCTTCATTTGGTCATCTATTTTATTTTAATTTTATTTGAATGATAACATGTGCTGAGATAAAATTATTGAAAATCCTATGCTTTAATACCTTAATCTCATCATTACTTATCAGTGGATCCCAACCATGGTCCTTGAGGAACACCATCCAGCACGTTTCAGTTGTCTCCTGCTCCAACACGCCTGGTTCGACGATTTAATTACTTCCTCGAGTTTTGCAGAAGTCTGTTAATCACCCATTCATTCAAATCAGGTGTGTCAAAGAAGGGAAACAAGTAAAACATGCAGGATGGTGTTCCTCAATAACAATTAGGAACCACTGTCTTAACTAATTAAAGACATATTTTCCTAGAAGGAAGGTATCACCGATGGGTTGCATTTAGAATACCATTATCTAAAAATTATAGTGTTGTAGCCTGATCTTCTGCAAGATGTCACACTCAAAATAGCAGTTTTGAATAACTCAATTTTAGCTAATAACATCAAATTTTACAATGACATCTGTTAAATTGACTAAGGTATAGCCATTTTGTGTTTTTGAGATTAATTAGCTGTGTTGTAGTAGCAAAGCACTGTCCACAATGATCAAATGATGTTAAAAAATGTTCAAAAGTCAAAGATTGACAATAGCCTGTGTACTTGAAGCTTACCTTTTTTCCCCTGGGGGTCTTTGCAGTTTTCATATAGGCAGGCACTCCAGAGTGACCACTGTGAGAGTAAGCAATGGTTCTGGCAGGGAATGGAGCAGCTCTGCACAGCCAAGAGTGGCTCAGCACCCTCACACAGATGAGCATTTACAGGCCTGGACACTGAACAAGCAAAAGAAGAAAAATAATATAGTATTGGATAAATTGAGCTCAAGTAAAAAACACACACATTCAGCTGAGCAGTGTGTGATTGCCAGGTAATATGTTTGGGATTGGGCTCCTAACAGAACATGTTGCTAGACATTGTAAAGTCAATAAGTCAAGAAGCTCGAGAAACCTCACTGCTATCAAACAGAAAAGTATAGATGTATTGTTGTGAATTGAAAGACAGGACTGTATTTATTGGCAATAACTTTGACTTTGGCTTTGCAGTGTTTGGTGAAAAACTGGACAAGTTTGACAAAACTCATTGTAACAAGTAAAAGGAGCAGTAAGACTTGCCTATCTAACGTTACATGGGTTAGAATATAAAATAGAGCATAATTGCCAGGAAGGAAATAACTGAATCTAAAAAGAGAAATTAAATCATAAAATAGTTTCATCAATTTAGACTGGCATCACCCAAAGATCTCAAACAGCTAAGCCACATGTAATGGGCACCAACATTAGTCTTTCTCACAGACTAAATTTTTTTTTTTTTTTTGTCTGTTCACATAGGGATTTCAACGTAATATTCCATTTTGATGCACCTCCGCACATCATTGAGAGGGAAATTTCCATTTAAATTACTAAATGTCCACTGAGCATTTTGTCATTTTACTCACAGTAATTTACATGGTGCTTGATCTCTTTTGTAAAAATGAGATGCTTGTTTAAACACAGTGATAAAGTGGAGTGGGGATTTTGTGGCTCTGTTCCATAAATCGTGTTTATGTACAATTGAGTTGCGTTACTGGAGCAGAAACCCAACAGGAGTGAATTGTATTTCACAGAAACTGACTGAGTGCTTCTTCATATTAAAAGCACTGCAGCTCCACATAATTCAAACTAACCAAAATTGTGAGATTGTGAGGGCCAAAACCAGGATAAGAATTCAGCACATTTGTTCCTTTTATATTAAAAAAAAAAGCTCTGTTCGTTTCAGTACACTTTTAAAGCCACACACACACACACACACACACACACACACAACAATCCAAACAAACATGCTTTATAAAAAAAAATTATAGATGTAAACTCAATTAATGTCCTTTTTATTTGATGAATGATTATATTCATTATGCAAGAAAGAGTACAATTAAAAAAAAAAGGAACACAGTAGTTGACAGTCATTAAAAAGTGCCCACTGTGCCTAATTAAAATGATAAATAGTTAATACTTAGTATGCCTGAGCCTGTTCCTCTTTTCCCCTCATAATTTATGTTGACTCATACTTTAAGGCTTGAACTTTTGCATTTTGTAGAAAGTGAAAGTATGTAGTGTCATCATTGCATGTTCCTATACAAATATTAAATGTGTGCTCTGCATTTAACCAGTCACATGTGAGTTACACCCACGTGAAGCAGAAAGCACTATATAAACTCTCAGGGAGCAGTGAGGGAATAGGTGTTTTGCTCAAGGACACAATTACATTGTGGACATTGCAAGGAGTTGATCCTGTGACATTCTGGTATCAAGTCAGTTGCCCTACCACTGCACCACAGTCTTCCCCTGAGAAAAGTACTATACACTATTGAAGAAAAATAAAGAAAATGTTTATATATATATA